TAACAGTCAACCAACATAAACGTAAATAGCAAAAGTGAAGGTTAAAAAACTTAATTTCCATGAAGAGAGACTGGGATGATGAAGCAAGAGGCCCTCAAGGCTGTGATATCCGGACTGCAGAGCTGCCAAAGAGCTTTGGGGCTAAGACGTCACTCCGTGGTACCCTTTTTTCCTCTTCTTCCCCCTCCCCGTTTTCTCTCCAGTTCAACCCACGGTGAAGATCGCCCCCTCAGAGGGCTCTTTGGCCCAAAACATTTTGCTGATTTGCACCGTGGACAAATTCTTCCCCTCGAAGATCAAAATCACCTGGTTCCGAAACGGGAAGGAGGAAGACGAGAGTTGAGTGTTCACCACGGACCTGATCCGGAACGGGGACTGGACCTTCCAGATGGCGGTGATGCTGGAGGCCCAGCCGGAGCGGGGAGACGTCTACGCCTGCCAGGTGGAGCACGCCAGCTTCCCGGAGCCCGTCACCGTCCAGTGGGGTAAGACATGAACTTAAGTCCATCCTCACATGCACCAGCTCTAATCCCCTTTTTCTTTGTCATCTGGGTCTTGGTGGGGGGAAAGAGGGGTGGAGGCTGAGGCTGAGCCTGGCCCCCGTCTTCTCTGTCCTCCAGAAACCTTCATGGTGTTGGATGATCAAGAAATCTAGATGCAAATTTCAAAGGGGAAGGGGCTGCAACACAAACTAACTTGTTTGCTTGTTTGTTTACATGCTGACCAATTAGAGAGTTTTGTTGTTCCCGGGTAGGGAGGCTCCACCCCTGTTTCCGGCCCTCCTGGCCATGAGGTGTTTGAACCACCATTGTTGGTCAGCATTCCTGCACACACTTTTCACCTGGAAAGATGTAAGACTCCATGCTGGCCCACTGAGCCTGGAGACCCCTCCAGCCACGTGGGGCCAGAACAGAAGAACATTGTGTTTGCTGTTTTTATTCCTGTATCTACCTGAAACCTTCTAAATGCTTATCTTCGTGAGTAGAATATAGATCTCTTTCTTTTATACAGAATAAGGCTTCCTGAGTGTTATTTCTTAAATGCTAATCTTTGGTGAGGGGCGGGTAAAAAAAGGGAACTTCTAGCTAAATTCTGCCTGAACCAGCTGGCACTTCTGCTGTGCATTTGTACTGGAATTCAGTACAGTACCAAACTCTCAACACATGGTCTCTTTTGGGTCCCTCTTGTTTCGGCAGAAGCCCAGTCGAAATCCGCCCGGAG